ATTGACTTCCTTAAAGATCATGTGGTAACAACTTTTATCCTTTCTTAGCAAAAGTCCTAGGTGTATTCACCAAATCATAGCATTTTTCTCTTCTATAAGAGTTTTAATAAAAGTCAGTTATAGTTTTGATTCCATAGATGTTAAAAACTGGTTTCAGCCTCCTTTCAAGAAAAAAACAAAATTCCACTGAAATTCACATGGCTGAGAGCACTTGAGGAGCCCATCTCTAATGGGCTGCCTCAAACTCTTACAGCTGAAGGAAGGGAGCAGGTTCCCAGACATTGTCCATACCCAGATCCACACAAACACCCTTATGGGACCAGCCAGCCTGAAGTAGCACTGGAGGGGACAATCATGTACAAACATTTGATTCCTAAAGGTTCTTTCTTTGAATTCTGCCATGTCTTTTGAATGGCTTTGAACAGCTGGATCATCACAACTCTTTCCTGTATACAGCTGGGTCTGGCACACAGTCACTCTTCTTGCCTTCATGCACACAAACACTGAGCTCTTCTCCACTCATTACATCAGACTCAAGACCATTCCTTCTCTCAGCCAGCAGAGAATTGGGTGGAGAAGGAGTGACTGTTTAAGCCCCAAAAGCAGGTAATTTACTGATGATTCACCCCCTAGCACTGGCTTGCTGTCTGAGGATGGGCAGCACTAGTTGGTGGAAGCTGTGGAGATGCACTAAGGCAGGTCTGCCTCTTTCTGGGACACTTTGCCATGAGCTGACTTTCCCCTGTTATGAAGCTGTAGCTGTCATCCCCTGCTTCTCCCAGTGTATTTCTTTCTTCTCTCTGAATTGATGCACTGGGACTCTTCCACACATCTCTTGCACAGGGCTCTGTGGTAGTCCTGCACAGCTAGGAGTCATCCATGAGGTGCAGCCTCTGTATGGAAGGTATCTAAGAACAAGCTTTTGGATCCTCTACCTCTCATACAGAGGTTGGGAAACAGCTGCACATGGGTAATGCCTGCAACCACCTGTGAATTTTACCAAATCCAGACTTCCACTTTCCCCTATCTAAACTCTAGTTGTATCTCCTGGCTTCAGGTTCACTATTTTCAGCATATGCTGTCTTCCAGTGACATCTAGGGATAGGGACTGGAAATCGCAAGCTGGACGCTTACATAGGCATTGCTTAAAACATATTTCAAACTGATAAAACTTGCTTGTTTAATAAGCCAAAAAACTTAAGGAACAATTGTAATTAATATCAGGTGAAAAGAATCTTCCATGTTTTGCAGGATTGAATTGATGCTCCGGGGCCCATTCCTCGACTCATACGCATCATCATTAATTGCATGAAGTGTCTACAGAGACATGGCATTAACTGGCATAACATTTTGCTCTGGTACAAAGAATACAAGCAAGGTGAAGGTACTTTAGTACTAATGACAAAACACATGAAAGGGAAAATGTCATCAGGAGGACAAAAACACTTTTGAGGTCAAAAGATCAAACAAGTTTCTTTAGTAGCTGGATCCATTATTTACTTAGTGCTATCACTACTAAATTACTCATTACATTTATGTATCAGTCCCCTGATTGCAGAGAGTCACTGTGCTTGGTGATTCACCTACACAGGGCTAAGATATGGCCCCTGATCGGGAGACCTTACCTGCAGGACAAGGCAGAACTGAAGGATGGAGGCAGTAGAGCAGAGGGAATGGTGGCCCAATCTACACTGCTTTGCAGCCTGGCTTTGTGTTAGACTTCAGTTCACAGTGTTCAACAGCTTACCCATGCAGGATCAAAGCAGAAGCAGCAGCAAGTTTTCCCACTGTACCTTCATTTCTTTATGGAACACAGGCAGACTTCCTCCAGAGCATAACCAGGGACAGCCAAGCAGCATTAGACAGAAACCCACTATATGCCTGTGTAATATATCACATGAAAGATGCAGAAATGTATAAGGTGACTCTTTCAAAACAGGCTTTGTATGACTGTATAGTCCACATCTGCTCTGGATTTTCCCTGAAAATCTAGATTTCCTAGGTATTTCCAGCCCAACAACAAAAAGAATTCTGAGCTAATTCATGCCTGGACCTTTGCAGAACCTAAAAAAAATACACCTCTTTGATGGCAGAAGGAAATGCAGAACATATCAGAAAAATGACATCAAGAGAAGTGTTTATACATGCATAAGAGGTCTTCATGTCCAAAATCAAAGTATTTAAATATGCTCACATGGGCAAAAATGTGTGGAGAGAGTGAGGACAGAGGCTAGCTGCTGGTTTTCTAAGAACTTTTGGTCTGAGCAAATGAAACTGTGCCACCTATGGCCCAAATTCAGTGAATAGAGAAAATTCAGCTCAAAAGTAGAGGTCAAGTTAAATTTTTAAAAATAAAAGTCAGTGGATGCTTTGCCAGTATCAGCACCACAAGACACAATCCTGAGAATAGGGTCTATCGAATGCTATTAAATCCAGGGCAATTTCTCTTGGTAAGTGTATGCGAAATAACTGAGAAAAAACCCATCCCTTTGCTCCCAGCAATCACTTTGTCAGACCACTAAACCACTAGAGAAAGCACCAACCCTTTTGTTTCTGGTTTTGCCATGGCTGTTGTTTCTATCCAACAGCTGTGTTGCTCAGCAGTCAGAGCTGGTGGCCTGTCCTGGGGTGTCATAGGCAATTTGCATTTTCCTAGTGCCCATCAAAACACCACCAGTTGCAGCAGGGTCTCAAAAAGCTTCCAGATGAGGACTTGGGAGAAACCACTGAAAGGGAACTGAAATGAATGCAGTAGGAACTCTTGTGGGCAGGAAATGCCTCTTAGGGGAATATAAGACAGGCATCAATTTTAAAAGACTCATTGCAGAAATATAACAACTAACTCATTAACTTGGAAGATCCTTACTTTGTTGTCTCTTTATACTCAGTTGTTTAAGCTAAGCTTTCCTTTAAAGCTCTCCTAAGGTCTTCCTCCTGAAAACATACCACAATGTGAATATTATTAGTCTGAAATCAAATTGAGACAGCCAAGAAAATACTAGAAACTAATAGGAGACTAAAGATCACCTCCTGTGATTTAGGTGAATGTTGGCCTTGATGATTTGTGGTTTTATTCCTGTAATCTCTACAGCAAACAAATTACAATTTTCCCTCTTCAGAGGGTACTGCCCTGAAGTTAGAATGTTACTTTTATCAAACAAAAAAAAGTAATTTAATTATTAGAGGGACACAATAATGTCCCTTTCTGGGTGGCCAGGTCACATCCCATGACCAGAACACTGATACTTTGAATTTACCACCAGAGGCTCAGCTGAGTATCAATCTGAACCACTTGAAGCAGCAGCCAAGACTCGGAAATAGCACTGGTGCTTTTGCACAGTGTAAACATAAGGCAGCAGATGCTGCCACGTTCAGGCTTGGCTTCAGGTGGCAGCAACTTGAAGGGCTCTGCCTTGCTCTGCATGGAAGCAGGGTGCAAACACCGCCTTCCCTCAAACTCTCCAGATCTGATTTTAATCTTCCATAGGGTTACCAAAGGATGATCTAGTTGTAGGCTGATTTAAATCAGTACTGGAACTGACTTCTATTACCAGGACAACTGAAACAATTTGATGACCCCAAGAGATGTCCCTCCCCTCAGTATCCTCAAACACAACTTAGCACAAATGGCAGCGATGAGTGATGACTCCAGGTCCAGCTAGTTTCAAACAGAACAAAGTTCACAATATTTTTAATGAAGTAAGGCCATTACTAGACAATCAGAAAGTTTCTCCATGTCACTGCAGCAATCTTTCTGAAAAGAAAGGCATTTAAGCACAGAAAATACTCTGCTCAATATTGCATGTAAGCAATTCATACTGAATTCTCACTCACATAGTTTATTTTAACTAATGTATGGATTAATTTATGGGTTACTATTTACTAAAGGAACCTGGACAGTGTTTTTGTTCTGTACCTTGAAATTCATCTCCAGATGTGCACTCTCGGTTGCAGGTGTAGGTCACAGACACAGTGTCAGAAAGTGACAAGTATCAATTTGCAGGGCCATCTTTCTCTGGAGTTACCGAGTACAGGTGTGCTCACACCGATGTCTGCTCACTGGGGTGTAGCCAGGAGCCATCCCTTCACAGAAATTTCTCTGGCAGAGAGTAGCTAAAGGCTGCTTCCTCTATGACAGGGGCTGCTCCTCAATAAAGCTTTCCAGCAGGATCCTTGGGAATAGACAATTTTAACCCTTCTTACCCCCAAATTATTGTCCAATTACACATCAGTGCATTTATGTAATTTGCTGACTTTACCTAAAAGGGCAACCTTCCATTTGTGGGAGAACCATTTAAACAGCTCTAGTACAACCCCTTCCCTGGGGTCAGCAATCCTGTGATAGCCAGGGCTTGTCTGAGAGTACTGCGGGAACAGAGCTGTGTCCATGCCTGATGGTGAGAGGGATCACAAACACTGCTGACAGCTAAATCCTCTCAGTGAGGAGCAGGACCATTCCACTTGGAACCACATCTGCTGAATTCAGCTACTCAGAAGCCAGAGAGCTGAGCCTGGATCATGTGTTGTGTGGGTTTTCTGATCTGGGGATTTTAATTTATTTTTTTTTGTCATAATCACAGCAAAGATGGGTTGTAAATAAAATAAAGAGAAAAATAAAAATAACCCCATTTATTGTATACACAAGTCCTTTTAATCAGGCCCCAAATTCATTTCAGAAATGTGCTGTCACATTTCACAGATGCAAGATATTCTGAAAGAGCTGAAACCAAACTTGAGCACATTTCTGATTTTATCCTAAAATACCATACATTCTGTTTATTCAAGAAATCAGATGATCCTTTTCTACCCAAAGTTTTGCACCTCAAGCCAATAGAAGCCAATCATCTTGTTTTAGAGCCACAACATTGTAGGACAAGTCAAAGTATTTTTAAGTTGGTTAATACAGATTATGTTAGAAATTTAAGGGAGTAAATATAAAATCAAAGCTGATTTTACAAGAGGATCACACACATTTCTATTAGATTGCTACTTTTATCTTCCCCAAAAAAAAAAAAAAAAAATTCCTCCTTAACAGCATAAAATTCCATTTGTTTTAGAAAAGCATACATAAAATAACACTGGCACACTTTATTTTAAAAGACTTTTTTTGTCTCAGCTCTGTAGCAATACTCCAATACACGTTGTTCATTAAGAGATCAATGACAGGCATGTAGCAAACTTAAAAAAGGCAAGCCAAGTACAAATCCTCTTTTGAGATTATTTTTGTATTTTTAATCTAAATGGGAAACAGTAGGCATGAAACATCTATACAGCAAACATGAAATGGCTATGCCATTTTTCCCTTAATGATCTCAAGAGCTTTTAATCTGGCAACTGGAAAACAACCTTCGTGTTGCCATGCCCAGGGGACAGATTCCTGATTGAGTATGGATGTAGAAAGTCATAGGTACTTAAATACACACAACCCTCTAAGCCCACTTCCAACTCCCCAGTGTCAGCAGCACATTAGTTAAAGGAATGCTCAGTAATACTGATCAACACTGAACAGATACAAGGGACAGTAACTCCTACAGTGTCTTAGGGTGAGCTGTAAAGAACACCTCCCTCCTGCTTTAACAGCCTAAATATCAATCTTGTATACATATTTACAGAGTGTGAGGAACTATTCAGCCACTTAAAGATGTAACACATAGATTCTGTACACGAGAGCCTAGCAGAAGGATTAAGGAATTAATTTCTGACTGGAACTCAAGGTACATCTGGCCTATACTGCAAAATTAGAGTACTACAGCCTGTAAGAGCGCAGCACATCAGATAAAATTAAAAAGCCTACAAACAGGGTATGGCATTACAGGAGAGGATATCTGATTACTGCCTGACTGTAAATAACACATGCATCTTCAGGGCAACTGAAGATGTACCAACTATAAGCAGGATGGCAGTATAGGAAAAAATGAGGTGTTCTGTCTAATTGCATTTCAAATATTTGAAACTTAAGTTCAATGACTTTGTATTTTAGAGTTTTATAACGGCTTTGGATGTACATAGAGCCTTAAATGCCAAACTTTCAAGGATATCTAACTAAGATTTTTAAAGATACAGAGAGAGAGAGAAACAATGATGTTACGGAGGTCTTCAGTCCAGGGATCTAAGTTAATGGAAACAAACTTCAGATATAAACTTATTTCCTAAGACTATTTACTAGTTCCCTCCTCCCCCTCCAAAGAAGCTCTCCAAAACAAAATGTTATTAATTTTGGCTGTGCAAAAATGGAGTTCAGGAATAAAGGTTCAAGCAAAGCCACTGAAGCAATGATTAGCATGCACACACAGCCCAGGCATTCCTTTTCAGAGGTTACTCCACTTGAGAATTATCTGGCCATAATCGTGCTCCTCATGCTCATCTCTGAGACACAGAGTCAGATTTAGCAGACCATAGGTGACAGTCAAGGGCCTGATAGCTCAGACAGTAAGAAGTAGGCATCTTACAGACTTAAATTATTAAATCTCATATTCTACAAACAAGAGCTGCCAGCAGCATTTGGGAAGCGAGGGTTGCATTGCTCCTAGCTGCTTTAAGCAGATGTAGACTCAGAACAGACAATTTAGTGAATTTATTTATGCAACACCTTACTCCAAGGTATCAGCTCAGAGTCAGCTAGAACAGTCCAATAAAACTATGCACAAGGCTGTGAATTCAAAACAAGTTTCTGCATCCAATAACACCTTGAGATTAAGCCTAAGTATCACTAAGAAGGAAATCTTGATTGGTAGGTATGAAGGACACAGACTTCACAACAGTCCAACAAAAAAACACCATTTTTTTGCAGTCTGAGCCTGGCCAGCCTCAAGTCCTACTAGTGGACTTCAAAAGAGTTTCTACTATAAGCTCTTTTTTTCTGCCTTGACAATTATGGGCCACATCCTTCAACATTTTTTACCTTATTTTGGAATAGATAAAAAGATTGAAACCTGCCTTCATTCTGAAAACAGATTTCTGTGGCAGCACTTTAAACAGTTATTTTCCAAAGCCTTCATTTTCAGCATTTTTAAAACATAGATATGTATTCCAAGGAAGTTTAGCTTTGACAAAGAAGTTTCAGAATAAGATGACAAAACATGATATTCTTGAAGCCTTTCATCTACAACATACAAAAAGATTTGGGCTTGTAACAAAGCTAATTACAATCTTAGAAACACTGTTTTAGTTTAAAACACTCATGGACAAAAATTTCTGCTTTCCTTCTAGAAAGAAAAGAATTTCCTTCTAGAAACTTCAAATGTGTTACGTCTTACTCCATCTCCCTATACTTTTGCCTTTCAAAGGTCAAAACACAAGCATCTTCACCCAAGCCACCCATGAATTGCGAGGTTCTTCTTATTATAAAGGATTTTTAAATGAGGAGGAAGAAAACCAAATATTTTTCTTACTTATTCCAAGCAGAATGACTATGGAGAAATGACTCAAGCTTAGGTAGTAAAAGTTAATGGGATGCCATATGAAATGAAGACTGACTCAGTAACATGAGACCTGCTAGTCATTAATCTTCAATTCAAAGCCCACTAGAAGAACTTGTATAATACCAGCAAAATAGAAGGTACTGCTTGCTTTTCCTCTTGGGCAGGAGAACAAGCTTTAAATAAGAACATCAGTTTTTCTGGCATGTGATAAAAAGATAACCACTAATTTCTATGTACCCCCAAAAGACTGATTACTTTAGTAGTTAAGAATCAGGACTAGGTAAACTTGCAGTAGAATGCCTTTATTCTGCTCATCTGCAAGACTTGCATAAGATTTATTTTTGGATTTCCATTTGGTATGTGGGTATTTTGAGCTTTGCATGAGGCATTTCCTCCTCCTGAACGAATTGCACCTTAACTGTATACAATCTTCTGGAGCATCCTTTCTCTGGAACAGATAAGATCTGTAACATCAGGCAGAATTTGTGGAGATTGAGTGACTGGAATTTTACAAGTGGAATTGTCTAGACCAGGCGGAGAAAGGAATCGTCATATAATGCTCCCCTAATTGTTGCTAGTGCCTTAAGGGTTCATTTCTGAACTCAAAAATCTAAAAAAAAAGAAAAAAAACCCAGTTCAAATAAGTTAAATTTGAAACATTTCTGTTTAGAAAGGCAAATATGAATAGGAAATGAAGTATAAACATGTGATATTAAATAATAAGTTTTGCATAATTCTTTACTACTTTAGGTAGTAAACAATTATTTTATCAATTTAATAATTTTCCTTTTCTGGCTAAGTTATTACTAAGTCTTAGAAGTAAAGAAATATCTCTTTCTTTCTTTCCAGAGAATACATGATATGACATGAAGTTTTTTAAACATTTCCCACTATTGTAATGGTTTTGCAACTCAGCATGTTCTGAATTGTTTCAGAAAAAAATTCCATGTCCACCTCAAAAGGAAGACAACATCTGCTTGTTTCACCAAGTGAATTAATTTCATTCTTCATGAGACATATCCTACAAGCAGAACAAGAAATGCCTACAGCTAACTAAAGCTAGCTGAAAGGCATGGTGGAACAAACCTAATGTAACCTCCAGTAATGCTGAAATAATTGCCTTCTAGAAGAACCAGCTTTTTGTAGCAACACCTAAACTCTATTACAAAACCCTCCATGTCAACCATCAGTCCTAGGAAGACTTTTCATAACAGGGAAGAGGTTAGTGTAGGTCCTGCTCCCTTCCCTGCTCCTGCAGCTAGCACTACCAGCTCAGTCAAGCATTCTGCTTGCCATGGCACAGTCATGGCAGAAGCCAACACATTCCCTTTTCCCTGTACTCAGTGACAGAGGAGATACAACACCTCATCCACTTCCTTTAAATGTTTTGGGACTTTTGCCCAAATGTTTTGCTTTGAGGAGCTCAGCTTGTTTTACCCCTACTTTGCTTCACATTAATTCCTCATAATCACTGCAATAAATTTTAGAGAAGATCCAGTTACTTACACAGCAAACAACTGATGTCTTATTATGCTGCTACTAAGGTACACCTACAGTACAGGCTTTTAAAACACTAGTCTTACAGCTACAGGGTAAGGTCACATCAAGCTAATCTACTGATTAATCAGCTAGTACTTAATCATGTCAATTTTCCAATTTCTTCAATCAGCAGTGAGTTAACACTTGCCACAAAACAGTTTAGCCATTCCTCAGCAAGGCTACAGTGCTAGTTTAAAACTTAAGCTAAAGCATTTCAAATATCCCAGAAATTATATGAATAAACTTTTATTTTTAAGCAACAACACACACTATTTGAATAAAACTCACACATTTAACTCAGGTGGAGAGTACTAAACTGAACAATCATCGCTAATACATTTCCATTGGAAATGTGTTAAAGTTCTCAAGGGTCTTCATTACCATCTTACTGAAGTTTTCTTATGTGTTTCTAGCCTATACACCACCTGTTTCATGCAGTCATGCAAATCAAATTGTAAATGTTCAGGTAGCAGGGAAGTCCATTCACTGCAAAGACGCATTCTTCACTGAAGAGCCAGGATAGGTAAGACCAATACTGCAGGATTCTTCACAAGAGTACAGGTTAGAAACCATGAACTTTCAGTTGTTCTTCCTTGACAATGCCAATCTAAAGGAGAGAAACAATGCATTTTAGTAAAGCTTACATATTTAGGCTCTTACAGCGAAATCAAGTTACCCTAATCTCACACTCTGATTAAAGAAATTGCTATACAATGTATACACTCAATGAAACATTTTTTTAGTTTACAGAATGTTTCTGGGCCAAGCGGAAGAACTGACTAAACAAAAAGAAAATCTTATCAGACATCCGTTATTCTTTGACGGTGTAACAACTCTGCATCATCATTTGCATCAGAGTAAGCCTCTTTCCTCTACAGTGTTTTCAGTCTCACGATTATGGTTTGCATTGAACACTTGATTTTACAAGCACAGAGCTCAAGTTGCACTGTCAGAGAACAAGAGGCGTGTTGTAACCGTGCAAAGGCATTTTACAGTGCTTTGATTCTTACCAGAGGCTTACTCTCATTCTGCAAGTATCATTTTACTTTCTGGCTGAAAATACAAAAGAACTACAGTGGCCATCTTTAGCTGGTTAATTAGCATCAGTACCACCTGTCACCCTAGTGCTTCCAGAGAGGTTTAGATATTTATCTGCAGTCCCTCACCTCCAAGAGGAATTGGCAAATGTTTTTCCTCTGGTCACCTTGCAGCTGGATAACTTCGCCGTATTCAGGATGTTCAATCACAGTACCATTACAAGCGAATTTCTAAGAGAGAAACATCCATATTATAAGACATCTGACGTAAGTCGTGATTTTGCTTAGTCAGTCTTCTCAGAAGAACTTTGTCTCAGAAGCTGCTTACTATTTTGATACCAAGCCAGGCAAAGGTTAAATCAATTTTACTGGCTCTGAGAGGAAATGGAATATATCTGCTGATACAAACATACACAAACTAAACTGCTGATTTGGCAGTGACAGGATTAGCTACTGTGCAGAAGGAAATGGTCAACAATTATTGCAATAATGAAAAACAAAGTCATAAGATATGGCCTCTCAACTTCACACTATTTAAAAATAATTATTGTTATCTTGGCAAAACTAAAGGCCTCTATTTTCAGCAACAACCCAGCTGTAACAGAGGCAGGAATAAAAACCAGCTCTACTTTAAACTGATTTCATTTTTCACATCAAGAATGCCATGTATCTGTGAAAATTTAAAGAAACACTCAAAATATATTTTATTTGCTTCTTTTTAAGATAGAAACGTCTAACCTTTTAGCAAAATCAGTGTCACTGGACACTGATAAGTGTTTTCAGAAAGGGAAAGGACTTGAATATGAAAGTGGTGTGCACTGGAGAGAATGAAGCGACATAAAGATTTTGTTACTTGGTATTAAAAGCTATCTTACTCCTTTATATATAATCATTATAAAATCAAATCAGCAACTTTACCTTTTTGAAAGCTTTCACAAGTTTCTTCTTGTCATAATCATCTGCAATGCCCTGAACAGTTGTTAGTGTCTTTCTTCCGTTTCGTTGCTGGATCCTTATATGAATGTAATCCTCAGTCCCCGCCGGGAGTAAGTCGTCACCCTTTGTTGCATCAGCAAAGGGGTCTGCAGGAGGAAAAAGATTCATGTAATTCCCACAAAAGAAAACACCCAAGCTCAAAACTAAGAAGAAAGATTCTCACTTCTCAAAAAAATTATTATTATATTCAGAGTATTATCTTGATGTTTAATCACTGTTTAAAAACACAATGTTAAAACCAAAGTGCTTTTTCTACAGCTGTATAAAGTGATATTACACTACATGCTTAGGACAGCCCTCTCAACTACCGCGCACCATTTCTGCCATGCCTTCCTAGGTATGAATGATTTTCTGCTACAGTATCAGTTTACATCATTGTTTCTTGCAAACTGTTAATCCTGAACCTGAAAACATGTTTCTGAGAGAACATCAAACGTACGTTAAGTTTTAGACAACTGCATACATTAAAGTGAAACAAAACAACTGTATCTCTTTTCAGATCAACTGATAATAACAGAGGAACAGAAAAGCTCTAGAACAGACACCTCCTTACAGGTACAGAGCAGAAGTTTTAGACTGTGGCAACTACTACACTTCCAGCATGTTAAGGCATGGATGTAACGCTCGGCTATTAACAGAAATAAAAGAGAAATACACTCTAACAGATGTCAGAGGCTGCCTGTAAACCAGAACTCCTCCAGTCAGCAGCTTTAGTCAAGAAATGTAACAAAATTAATTTAGGCTTAGACCAAAGAAAGGTCAGTTCTCAAATTCTTCCAAGCTTAGCATTTATCTAGCACAGATAGAAAAGAAAAGCCTTTAGAAAGAAGGGGGCTTCTGTGTTAACACTTCTTATACTCTGTACTTCACAAAAACATGCTTAATACTCAAGAAAATTTACAGCTCTACAAATCTCCAGTAGCTCCAAATAAACCTTGAAGCATTAAGTACTTTATTACTTTTTAAAAATAATCATAAGTAATTTTCGGTACTAATCAGAACAATATTTAAGAGCCTATGTAGGTTCAACACCCATGCAAGCTACAATTTCCCAAATTTCCGTTCAAAACTCTGATCTAAAAACACTGGTCAAGTTTTGCTATCCACTAGAAAGAAATGCCCCAAATGAGTAAAACTTCAGCAGAAACACAAAAAAGTAATTCAGCTGCAGTCTGACAGATCCTTGTGGAAACAAGAGCATTAAAGGCACGGAAAGCATAATGAGGATTCAAGCATCACAGGAAACAAATACGGCATTGGGAATCTTGACCAACTCAACTTCTACTACAGAATTTGTAAAACCCTGCTGAATTTGACTGTCTCCCACAGCTTGTGGCTCAAACAATAATAGAAAATCTTAGTCAAAGAAAAAGTGGAAGAAGAAGAGGACTTGGGCATAAGGATCACTTGGCAGAATTTAGGGCTCTAGGCTGGAAATAAGATAGCACTGTAGATGTCAACACTGGACCCCTTCAAACCAATCCTCTGGGTGGCACCTTCCTTAAGCACAGGGTGAGCTCCCAAATCATGACTGAACGTAACCTTCTCACATGGCTTATATGTGCAGAAGATCAGAGTCAACACTGCGACCAAAAGCCTGAGACTATTGTATAAAGTTCTAACTTGCTCACTTCTGCTGCTTATAGATAAGGCAAGAGGAGAACGCTGGCCCAGCACGGTTAAACTTCCCTGCTGATAGGGGAGAGATGATCTGCCAACTGCGTAGCTCACTCTACAGAAACAATAACCTTTGAAGGGCTTGTATAGCGTTTTGGGACATGGCTGAGGATAAGATGCTGCAGCAAACCAACCGTAACTGATGAAATTATTTCCTCAGCAGAGGATACGAGCCCTTGATCCGGGGTGTCAGAGCTGAGAACATGGCAGCACCTCCTACGGGAGCAGCGAAGGGCTGAGCCTCCCTCCCGAGGTCTCCTCGCCGCACACACCGAGCACGCCCCGAGGCCGGCGACGCGGGAGGACAAGGACGAGCCGCCGGCGCTGCCTCACGGAGCACCGCAGCGACGGCGACACCGCTCAATGTCACCGCGGGGCCGGGGGGCCCGCGGCCCTCAGGAAGGCGGAGGCAGGACGGCGGAGCCGGGGGCGATGGGTGGGTTTGCCGAGGGGGTGGCTGCGGGGTGCCGGCGACTCTTACCGAAGGATTGGAGGTTCTGGATCGAGGACATGCGACTCTGCGGCGAGAGGCTGGAGCTGCGGGGAAGCGAGTCCGCTCGGGTCACGTCTCCGGCTCCGCAGTGCCACGCGGGGGCGGGGAGCGGGAGGGAGCGAGGGGAGGGGTAACAAAAGCAGAGGGACGCGGGGAGCGAACCCGAGACGTAGAGCGAGAGCGAAAGGAAGGAAAAAGGAGAGGAGGAAGCGCAAAGGGAAATAAAACGTGGAGGGAGGGAGGGACCCCCGCCCCTTGGCCGCACCGCCCCACGGCACCGCCAACGGGCGCCGCCCGCCGCGCTCCGCACAAAATGGCGTCCCGCGCGTGAGGGCCCCTCAGCAGCCCGGTGCACAGAATCACGGAATCGGTTAGTTTGGAAAAGACCTCTGAGGTGCTCGAGTCCAACCCCTGACCGAGCATCAGCATGTCAACCAGACCGTGTCACTGAGTGCCACGTCCAGACGGGGACCCCAACACCGCCTTGTGTAGCCCATTCCAATGTGTAATCACAGTTTCTGTAAAGAAATTCCTCCTGATGTCCAGCTTGAACCTCCCCTGCTGCAGGCTGAGGCTACATCCTCTTGTCCTGTTGCTGGTTGCCTGGGAGAAGAGACTGACCCCCCACTTGGCTACACCCTCCTTTCAGACAGCTGTAGAGAGTGATAAGGTCACCTCTGAGCCTCTTCTTTCCAGGCTAAAACCCCCAGCTCCCTCAGCTGCTCCTCATATGACTTGTGTGCAAAAGCTTTCACCAGCTTCACTGCCCTTCTCTGGACCTGCTCCAGCACCACAATGCCCTGTCTCATTACAATGTTCTCCTCAGTGGATCCCCAACAGCAGTGCTGGCATGTTGCTGGAGCCCCTTGTTCTCCGTGCTGCTGGCCCTCAGGCACCCAGCAAGGGTGACCCCCATGGAGGCCCTTCCATACTCACATCCCTTTGGCATGGGTAGTTTTCCAGCTGATCTGAAATTGGGAGAGCACTTCTCCCTTCCCCATTAAAATCTATTGGAAATCCCATTCCTTCAGGCCCTCCTCACTGGACAAAATGCTGCTTTTAAATGTTGAATGTGGTGAGAGAGGCAGTCAGCATCCCACAAACCACCTGTCTCCACTCTGGGCATGACTTGGAGACACAAGAAGTTCCACCTCAGCATGAGGAAGAACTTCTTATTGAGGGAGGCAGAGCTCTGGAACAGGCTACCTAGGATCGTCATGGAGTTTCTACCTCTGGAGACATTCCAAACCCACATGGACATGTTCCTGTGTCACCTGCTTGAGGTCAGAATGCCTTGGCAGGGGGGTTGGACCAGATGCTCTTGAGAGTCCAGTCCAGCCTTAACTATCCTGTGATTCTGAGAGCTTTGCACCCTTTCAGGCAGGTGCAGCTGCTGTTCCCGAGTCCCTAGGGGACCCATGGATGGCTGGCATGTGGCCTCACAGGACTCTTTGGTGACAGCCACTGTTTTTGGAGGATATCAGCAGTGCAGGGGCTGCAATAGGAAAAGTTTGCCTTTAAAATGGTGTGCAGGTGTTACAACTCTTGCTAGTCCTCATGAGGTGATTAATGGCTTTGTAGATGTACAATAAGCTAATTCTGCTGGCAGAAGTGGAAGAACCTGTGTTTCTCTTTTATTTTTTCCCCTTTTTGAATTTTATGCTAAATTTCAGTCCTTTTATATTAATGGGATATTTATTTTCTGTGATCCAAGGTCCGGATCAGCACTGCAGCAGTTTTATGAATGCCAGTCTGCAATGGTCTAAGGTTTCTAGTCCTGGCACTTTGCAAAGAAGCTTTTCTTTCTTCCATAGGGAAAACAAGGCCATTGGCCATGGCACAAAACCTTTGTTTTCCTTTTGCTACTATCATTGATTAAACCTTTCACTGCTGTAAAGGGGGGTTTAACTCATTCCCAAGCAGCTGCAAAAGGCACTATTGAGGCAGTAATGGGAGGATGGGGCAAGAGCTTGAGGCAACAATTTGGAGAATGTCTGTGGATTAAGGATGCAGAACTAAACACTAAGAAACCTTCTGGGAAGGTTGAGGAAGCTTAGGACACTCATCCTCAGGGACATGATCCCAGGATATCAACAGCACCTCTCTCAGAAAACTTAAATTACTACTAATGTGAAGAAATTTTGCCTCTGATATATTTTTGCTAATCCTATGTCTCTCTGCAAGATTTTCTTGTTTCTTTTGCTCTCTTATCATCATCCCATGAAATTTTTCCCCAGTGGCAAAGCAGGTCCATCGCCCTTTTCTTTTTCCAGCCACTGTTTTTTGTTACCTTGGCTGCACCAGTACCGATATCAGTGGGGCACTGGGATGATCAGCAAACTAATTTTAGTTACAAAATAAACTCAAAGGTTAAAGCCTCAGATCCACTCCACTTGCATAATCCTGCAACAGTTGTGCTGAGACAACCAAGGAGGACAAGGCTGGCCATGGATGAGAGTAACAGTGCATCTTCAGCCACAAGCCCCAAGTCTGAGCCTGCAGGTTTAGATGAGAATACCAGTCTTTGTGTCAGTTCTTCTGCTTACTCTGAATCTATTTAAAACTATTTAAAATAGTTTTACGGTTTTACAGTTCTAATTCTCACTGTTAATTGAGTCCTATGGGCTCACTGGGCGTCGGTGGAATTCATCCTACAGTTTACAGACAAATTATATTGGATGTCTGGGAAGCAACAAAGCTCCTTTTATAAGCCAAGAAGATGTGACTTTGTTATCCTTAAAATGAAACAACAATGAATAGTTCTGGCAACTGCAGAGGGAATGGAAACAACGCCCAACTGCACATCTTGGCATGCACTGTGCAGCAATTAAAATAAAAGTGGTGGCCAGCACCCTCATTGTTCTCTTGGCAGCCTTCTGCAATGTCCATGTGAATTGGCAGGGCCTCTGTGGGGCTGTGTCAATTCAAAGAGCTCTCCCTTTGCTGTCCTGCTCAGAGGGAGCTGCAGGTCTCGACGTCACATCCTTCATTAAGATCTGACACAAATCCTGTCTGTGCCAGCACATTGCACCAAACTTTGGTGTCTGTGCTCAGAAGCAGGTGGCATCCTGCTGGAGATGTGCTGCTCCTTCTATTGCCCCTCAACAGGACAGTTGTCCTGCGTTCCTTTGACCTGAGTCCTTCCCATTGCTCTTGAGCAGTCACTTGTGGCAATAGACCTGTGAAAGTCCTGGTTGTGAGGGGCTTCCAGTCACACCAGACTGAAGAAAGGTGGGCAAAGCAGACATGGACCTGCAGCAACCAAAAGAGGTAGAAGCAATTAAAATAGGTTTAAAACCTAAGTGAAGGTAAGAGGTGTTGTTGCTTAACTGTTGAATTTCAGATTTTGAAAACTGTTAAATTTCAGATTTCAAAACCTGCTCAATTTCAGATCATCCTAGAGCCGAGGTTGTAGTTAATCTCATTCACTAATATTAGACATCAGGGTTTAAGCAATATTTTGGGAATGAGACTCCTGTCTTTCCATGACTAATGTATAACCTGCCAACTACAGTGCCAGAAAAGAACATTATCTCTAATTAATTTGATCACGGCTTCAAGCTATTTAAATGTAATAGTTGCAAGACCTGGTTATGAATAGCAATTAGAGATCCCCTTGCTCGCCTTTTACTGTATTTCAGTTCATCTGTCAAGCTGTATGTGAATCATTACAGGTTATTTATGACTGGATAAGCCTCAGGAATTAAAATCAGGGGCTCACTGGCATGAAGCCATAAAGTATACTTTTGTAGAAAATGTCACCCTAGTGCAGAACCTCACCTTCACTGGGTATTCTCAGAAGCACTTCAGATGTGCTTGAGCAGCAATGGGTAACCCAGACCAGTGGGAGAAACTTTGTTCTTCCAGAAAATTGCTGTGTTAGAAAAATGGGCTGGAAATGGCACAAGAAAGCCTTGCATCAGGCAAAAAAAGTCAGCCATGCAGTAGGGTTAAACCTGTGCTTTAGTTTAGTACTCTGTATGACATCTCTCTTTGGTTATGTGCATGTAAAAGGCCACCCTTGTCTGCACCTGCCCCTTTGTAATAACCAGAGCGAACAACACTGTTTTTCACTTTCTACAGACACAGTTCTAGTATATACTACTATTATTTTCAGGTACAGCACAGCAATATTTTGAGTTTATACCTTAGGAGCTTTTACAAAGCCAAAATTTAATTTAATTAGGGCTTTCTCCAGTAGGCAGCTCTCCCATACCTGACCCTGCAGCCTGCTGTACCAGAAAATGTCAGACTTGCATGCTGACCTGTCCTCTGCAATAGCCTGGAAACCCAATTACTGCTTGAAGCACATGGTGTTTAAAGAGAAGTTTAAGTTGCCTAACAAAGCAACTGTGCATGAGACATGCAAATGGCATGCAGCAGCACTAATTTCCATCCTGCATGCCAGCAGTACAATTGCTCTATACACAAATTCTGCTCTACTCCAGCGCCAGAAGCTGGCAGTTGCTGGCCTAATGCTGGCGTTCTGAAAATAATGCCAGAGTGCTGGTTCCCTGAGAGATATGCAAAAAATATTTCCAACCTTGATTATTTTTATTCAATATTAATCTTCTCTGTTCTTGCTACATGACTCTACCCAAAATATCCAGCTTCATTTGGAATCTGTACATCCCAAACCTCTGTGCAGAAGGCTTCCCATTAGCCTTATATCAGGGAAGAAGAATAGCAAAAGTGCCAGAAGAAATCTTCCCTCTTCCACCAGCGGAATAGTTCTGAAGGTGGCTGTAACCATGCTAAGCCTGACTTGTATTTTTTTCATCCAAGCTCTGGTGAAAAACCTCCACGGTGTGCTAAGGAAGGGCTTGTGGAGAGTGGCTGAAGTCCTGAGCTATAGCCTATTCTTGAGCTGCCCAGCTGCTAACAAGTTGTCCCAATATGCAAATGATACCTGGGAGACTGGGCTAACTGGAAATTGTGCTGATGATAAACACCTGGATATCCAGCCCAACCCCAGAGAGACTGGGTTATGTGTAGTTTGGCTGAGCTTGCATACAGGCTCAGATTTCAAGATACACATTCATTTGAAATGTGGGGGGTTTATTCCCTGCTCAATAATGACTGCAAACAAGATGATAATTTCGGCATTAACCACTAGATGGTCCTCTTTCTCAAATTAAAAAAAAAAGTAGCTCCAAAATAAAGCTAGTTCTGGCTTTTCTCTGAACCTGAATGTTAGTAGAGAACGGTTTCTTTGTAAAGGTAAATGTTATTAGA